TTTTTTTACAGAGGTGAAGGGAGAGGGATAGAGAGTTAGAAACATCGATCAGCTGCCTCCCCTTGACCAGAATCAAACCTGGGACCCTTGAGTCCACAGGCCAACGCTCTAACCACTGAGCCAAACCGGTTAGGGCTGGGTGTAGTTTTAAGAGATGCCCTATTTTTTGACCGAGTGTGCGCTTTCTATGTGATGGGCATTAAAATATGACAGAGGGCGCTCTGTCCCTGCAAACACCCCTGTGCCCCTGGCTGGGCACCCTCTGGTCTCTCTTCTCCCAGGTGCAGAGGGCTCCTCCCTGGGCCTTTGAGACAGAGGAACTTCCAGTCCCCCTCCCCCTCCCACTGGGACCACTGCCTCTCCATAATGCCCTGCACTGGGAGAATCTTCTTTTCAAAGTGTTTCCAGTTTCAGTCATTATCCTCACTAGGCAGTCCTCACGTAAGTAGGACAGATTTTCAGGTTATAAAACCAAGAGTCAGAAAGACTAAGGAACCCCCCTTCCCCCCTGCCCCCCAGCCCTCCCGCTCTTTGGTTGGGTCACAGACAAATAACTCAGAGGCTCGAGATTCTTTACTAAACGTCCAAAGCCCAGGAAACCTTCGGGCAGCAGCATCTCTTAAGACTCAAGGGCAGAATACTGAACGCCAAGCCCTCAGGGGCTGCCCCTTCCTGAAGAGGCTCCTGAAATACTTTGGGGCCAAGGGTACCCTGAGGTCAGGCCTCACCCCACACCTGCCTCTCTCCCTTGGGGCTGGGCATGGGCTCCCAGCAGCTGCACCTCCGGAGCTCCTTACCTCGGGTCTGCGCAGTCTGCACCTCGTCCCCCAGCACGTCCTCTTCCCCGTAGGTGCGGATGGGGGAGCGGGCGTAGGAATGCTTCTGAATGAGGCTCTCCACGCTCTCCCTGGGGGAGAGAGCAACATGCCCAGTAAACGGAAAGGCAGGTACTCAGGGGCAGAGGGGTCTCACAGGTATTTGCTAGTCACGAAAACCAGTGTCTCAGCCAAAAGACCTTCCGGGAAAGATGACCCTCAGAGTATTTACAAGTGAGAACTGTGGAGGCAGCTGTAACCAAAACTCAATAATCCATGCCTAACGAGGGGGGAGGCTAGGGGAGAGAGAGAGAGACAGTAAAAAAAATGTGTAGCCTATCAGACGATGACAACAGTGCTGCAGAAAAATAAAATGCAGCAGGATTAGCGGTAAGAACTGTAACGGTGAGGATTGGAGTTGCCCAAAACAGTGTCTGGCATGTAGGAGGTGCTCAGTAAATGCTAGTGATTTATAAAAGTATAACTAAAGCAGGTAAACATATTTTATTGTCTTAGATTGCATTTTCTCCAATTTAATTCTACCCATCTGAATAATCCTAATTCAGAATCATATGATCCAAGTAAGGGGATTTTTTCTTGGTGAATGGAAGCTGACCAGGCAGCAGAGAACTTGACTGGAATGGTCTCTGTGGTTCTTTTATAAAACTGTATCTACCCTAAGAGATAAAATGGCAAGCTTCAGTGGGTCTGTATCACTTGTTTAAGAGTGTAACCTACTCCTTAGAATCCCTTAAACACACTTGTTGAATCCCTTGAGTTAGACTTGTTAAAATGAAAATATTTTATCACTCAGTAAGAGGTACCAGTAAATATATTAAATGGAATAATGTTATGTATGCTAATAAATATATGAAGGGAAAGGATAATTTGGCCTGACATGGACCTAATTAATCAATTTGCCACGTATCCTATACAGGGTGTCCCCCCAAAAATGTACACACACACTCTGAATAATTTTAAAGGCAGTGTTGCTTCATTTCATTTTCAAAATTGAGCTGTCAGGTGTTAAAGGGTGTATACATTTCTGGGGGGACGCCTGTATGTTAATCTTTGTATGTCCACACGCCGGTAATGTTGGACCCCCACAGCCTGCCCAGAGGATGTCACTTACTCACGGACTTAATTCACTACAGCGCTGGAGAGGGGCTGTCTTCTTGGGTAACCCGGGTCATTAAGAAAAAAGTCACGTGAGCCGAGCAACCCTTAATGAAATGACAAGCCTTACTAACAGGACATTCAATCCATGTCCTTTTAGTCTGAGCCTCGTGCCACGCTGCTAACATATGTGGGTATTTCACAAGAGGAAGGAACTTGCTCCCAATACCCTAGACGGTATTTTCTCTTTGCACAGTCATGAAGGAATGGCCATCTGTGGGCCCGTTATGGATGGTGTGTTGCTGAAGCGTATTCCTCTTCCCATCCGAGGCACAGCAACTGCTCAATCCGAGCATTTAGCTTGAAAGCAGTTTAGCATCTGCTCAACACACACACACGAAAAATCCTTCTCCGAACAACACAATGCATGACTGCCTGGTGAAACACGGTGCGTTTCCAGGAGAGGCACATTACATTCATCTTGTCCTTGGTAGACCACTGGCACCGTGCTCACTCTCGTCTCCAGGAGGAGGGAGGGAAAGGGGATTTTATCGAAGTGATTTACTTGTGCCGGGCCGGGGAGTGAACTGCAAGCAGTGGCGCTTCTTATACAAAGGATGGCCTAATTGAGTTACTGCCTTTTAAGTGATTGAAAACAGTGGTGCATTTCAGGGCCGTCTCTTCCAAGACGTTACGAAGAGTCGACAGCCCTTGCTGTTTCTGTCTAACCCCAGTTTCCAGCAAAATGGAAAGTGCAAAGAATTTGTTTAGCCTGGAAAACAACAGGGAAGATTTCTAAAATACTGTATCCTGAAAAATAACAATGACTCACCTAACGGGTTAAGTGGTTTAGATATTGCAAGCTGTAATAGTGCCTTGTAATGCTCAGTGCTGTTATATCCCAAAGCTAGTGATGGTAGTTTTAATAGACTCACTTTGGATTTAACAGATAAAAGAAACGGGTACTATTATTGAAGGTCAGCCTTTCTAGTATCTAAGACTGAATTACTTCTCTAGCAGAAAGAGTACATCAGCCCTGGCCAGTGTGGCTCAGTTGGTTGGGTGACATCCTACAAATTGAAAGGTTGCCAGTTCCATTCCCGGTCAGGACAGGTCAGGACACATGCCCAGGTTGTGGGCTCGATCTCCAGTAGGGGGCATGCAGGAGGCAGTCAATCGATGTTCTGTTCCCACAGCAATGTTTTTTTCTCTCTCTCCCTCTCCCTTCCTTTCTCTCTAAATACCAATAAAACTATTTTTTTAAAGAGTACATCATATCTTAGGTATTTTTTAAAAAATTTCTTCTGACTACTCCGTAGCCATCAGTTCCAAGAGTAACATGCGAGAGGCACAGTCATGTTCAGAAGGTGGGCAGGACAGCAGGTAGCTACAGTGCCTATGCTGATCCTGCCAAAAGGATCAGAACCATTGGAAGTCATTTCAACTATCTGCTCAGACTCTAGATAAGCAGAACCAACAGACTCTTCCCGTTTGGAACGGACTGCCCTTCCTCTGTCTTTGAAACAGGAGAGCAGATCCCTCCTTGAACAGGACCTTCCTTCTCTTCCTCAGCTCCTCTGCACCAGCAGGTACCTCACGTGTCCTCCTCTGCTGCACGTACTAGATGGATGGTAGTCGCGTGTTTGCATGAGTGTCTGCTGCTACCCTGCGGGCCTCGCGACCAGCAGAGAACGGCGCTTTCTCTATCAGGCACTGGTTCCTACACTTCAGTGTTATGGACTGAATGTCTGCGTCCCCTCCAAGACTCAGAGCTGAAATCCTAATCCCTGCAGTGGTTCTCAGCCTTCCTAATGCCGCGACCCTTTAATACAGTTCCTCATGTTGTGGTGACCCCCAACCATAACATTATTTTCGTTGCTACTTCATACCTGTAATGTTGCTACTGTTATGAATCGTCATGTAAATATCTGATATGCTATATGTGTTTTCCGATGGTCGCGACCCACAGGTTGAGAACTGCTGCAATGCGATGGAATTAGGAGGTGGGCCTTTGCAGACAATTAGGTCTTGAGGACAGAGCTCTCGTAAATGGGATGAATGGTCTCATAAGAAGAGAAGGGGGGCTTGGTTTGGTTCCTTCTTCTCAGCCATGTGAGGACACAGGAGAAGATGGCTGTGTGTGAACCTACAAACCCCTGAATCTGCCCACACCTTGATGTGGGATTTCCCGGGTTCCAGAACTGTGAGAAAGAGACGTCTGTGTGAGCCATTCGGGCGATGGCATCTTGGTCCTCGCAGCCCAAGCAGACTAAGACAGTGCATCAGGATTACCTGGAGGGCTTGTCAGAACAGGTGTCTGCCCGACCCTAGAGTTTCCGATTCACTAGGTGTGAGGTAGGCCTGGGATGGTGACATCCGGGCGTTTCCAGGCAATGCTGCTGCTGCTGACCTGGGGGCCCCCCTGGGAGAACCCTACCCACCTAGCTCAAATCCTAGCTCTCCCACTGGCCAGCTGTGTACCTGCAGGCACATTACTTCACTTCTCCAACCCTCAGTTTTCTCATCTGTGAAATGGGGACATTAATATGATCTAGCTCTAGAGTTATTATTAAGAATTAATGAACAGATTGTATTTTGTGCCTGGAAAGCAATCAGTGCTCAGTTAAGTGCTTATAGATAACAAAATTCAATGATAACTGTTATTATTGAGGATCCAGGTCCTGTGTCCCTAAGGCTGGTCACATAATCATAATCATTTTAGATGAAACTGAGACTTCCAGTCGCTCCAAAGTGCCAGGCTGCGTTCAAACCAGCCTATAATATATACATGTCAGAGACGAAATTAAATAAAAAGTAAATGTTATTTCAATTTACATTTTAACTTTCTCTCCTAAATATGGACCCAGAAAAAACTGTGTCCTGGGAGTAAATGTCAAATCCATTAAAATCAAATCTAACTTATAGGAAACAAAATATTTCAAGTTGTTCTTGCTCATCAATTTGCTCATGATTGCATCATGCCTTGCTGGGCCTTTATAAATAACTCCTCGTCACAATATTTTTCTAAAGATTTATGCAGATAATTGTATAAATTACTGGAAGACGATATATCAATATTTATAGCTTCCACAAAGTACTTAATAAATGAAAACTTTAGCTAATACCATTTGAAATGTATTATAAATCATTAATTTTAATTTGAAAACGGAAATATATTATGCAATCCATTTCGGAAAAACAAAATAAGTCTAAATTAATCTTTGAAAAAGCTTTTAGACTTTTATTTTCATTTATCTGACTCAGTCCTGTTCGTTTTTCTTTTCAGTAGTAATAGACAATTCTGATTTTACTTTATCATTAGCAACTTAAGTAAACTACACTGAATAAAACAAAAGCTGTTACGTTTCATTTCCTAAGTCTCACGGCTGACAACCAGAAGAAAGGTCTCAGGCAAAACACGGACTACTGACTTCTAAATCAACTCCAGTGACTGTGAGGCAGGAAACAAATGTCCTTCAGACACAGAAAGGCCGACACGAGCCAGGGGAGAAGGAGGGCGGGTGACATGAACTGGGAATAACTGCTCCCCTGCCTGGCACGCTGGTTTGTCTGACACTTTTATAAACAAGCGCTTCCTCCTGGAAGCGGCCGATGAAGGAGCTGAAGTGCAGACACACGGCTTCGCTAGGTAAAGGGATTTTGCAGCGAGTACTTCTATCATTTGAAAGAAAAAATTCGTTTCGCTAAAAACCATCCTTTCCTTTTTGTGGTTATGGTCATTTATTCGATTAATGGATTTTATTTAAAAGCAGACTTTAATCTGGCAACCAGATGAAAACCGCGCTCACTGGATGCATGCAGCCTCTTATGCCGAGTCTACCTTCACTGGGGGTGGTTTTTAAAGAAAAAGCTTCTTTTCTAAGAAATTAAGTGATCAGACTCGTTCTCTGCAGCTGGAGTTTCATCTCTTCTACAGAGAGAGGGTGTGGGGAGCTGATGGGCTGGGTCTCTAAGA